TTGGAGAGGGTAAACCAAATCCCTACTTTTTCGAAATTTTTGAAAAACCGATAAGAGAACGAGAGAGAGAGTAAAAAGGTACTACTTGTATATATCAAAAGAGTGCAGCTTTCAAAAATAAAGAAGTCTGTTATACACCTGGGTTCTGAAGGTCTTTGTAGTTTTGTTAACAGGTCTGTGCTTACTAAAATTTTTTCTATTCACAGTAAGCACTACCTGCTTTTTCACTTTTATTCCTAGGCTTCTGGCTTGCATATCGAATATAGAAGAGAGTCTCCTAGAGCAAGATTAACCACTTTGTTGTACCCTAAAAACCACTACTATAGGCCTTTAGAACAGTAGACTAGTAGAATTTCATCGACAGACTAGTTCACCAAAATTTATACTTGGAGTAATAAGCACTGCCTGCTTTTTTCACTATTACTCCTAAGGCTTTTGGCTTGCATGCCAAACATAGAAAGGAGTCTCTAGACCCAGTTAACCTTTCTACAAACTATTTCAATAATCTACTTCAACTCTCCAACAGACTTTTTATTTCTTTTTTTAGTTGGAAGTTTGGTCCAAGTGATCATTGGGAAGAGTTCTTGAGATAAAAAAAAAAAAATAAGCTGAATCAGAATTGTATAAAATAATAAATCTTATATTAATAAATAGTTTTATTGTAGATGATAAAGAAATCGAAAATAATAATATATACAATGTTAACCAAAATTTATTAGTTTAAACTACTTTGATTTTGAAAAATATTGTAAATTTAAGAGATTTGATTTTTCAGAAAAGAGATACTGCACTACATAAAACTTTGACTACTTTAAATAATGATATTGAAAAAATTAATATAAACTTTGATCCAGAGCATCTTGTTAATAATATATTAAATAATAAATTAAATGATTAAGTATTTAAATAATTATTTTATAAAATTGTAAATTTTTATTATTTCTAATACTTATTTTAAATTAATATTTAACAAGTATGATTAAACGATTAATTCTAGAACTTTTAGCTTATTGCATGATAGATATGCATAAATGAACTTTTTTTTTAAGAACATACAATATGCAATTAAAGTATAATATATATTCAAATAGATTTCATTTAATTGATTAGAATATTTTAAAGAAACAGATAAAGGTAGATTAGTATTATATACAAAGCAATATAAGTATATGAAAATGATTGTACTATTACACTTAAAATTTTAAATCTATTGACAAGTTTAGGGAATAATTCATATCTTAAAATCTTTATTATTGTTGTATATTCAAGAATAATAATTATATTCAGGTTATAATAAATTTATACAAATTTGCTTAGTTTTAAAATTTCTATTCTTGCATTTTTTATGGCACAAATCAATTATTACAGTATATATCAAATATTATAGTACATATCAAATATTATAGTATATGTAAAAGTTACAATATAATTTAGATATTATAGCAAATGTTGATTATAGCTTTTTGACACATCATATCACAAAGATATGTCTAATTTATGTTATGATTAGTTACAGTATGACCATATTTTTGCACCTATAGCCATAACACAATCCATATCTCAAATATAACCTTTCTAATTTAGTTCTCAATTACTTACTTCTACTCTTTATAAAGTTCACAAACCTAGTACCCTATTCTGTTACTTTCTACACCTTACTTTATTTATTTCATTGGTTTTTCCAATTCAGATGGCCCCAGAGAAATTGGTTTGCCCAAATCTGAGTTTTCTAGGCTCAAGTCTAAAGGACACCTGATCCTTGAACCATGTTTTCATAATACATAATTTTTTTCTCTGGGGTCTCATTCTAGGATCTTACTCCTAGTCATACTATTGAGGTAGCCAAAGAATATACAGCTAAGGCAGCTCTAGTGACTCTGGCAGTCTGGTTGGTAAATCCCTTTTGCCTAAAAGATCTTATGCCCAAATCCTCTAAATATTCAAATTTAGTTAAATCAGCCATGTAATACCAGATAGCACTAGTTAGATGAGAATTTACTACTTCTCTATTTAGGATTTGCCAAGCTGGTTTCAGTTTTCCATAGGCTACTGTAAGTATATTTTTAACTTATTGCAATCTAGAATGCCTTATCATGAATTTGCACTACTTATACCAGTTTGCATTCCTTTGTACAATAATACAAATATATCCATGTCTTCCAGTGCATATAAGATATTGATATGCCCAGTTTACAGATATAGAACCTAGCTCAATTTAGAATAAGCTGTTATTGTGATACAGGTAAATTGTATTGAAACATTGTCAGTGGGATTTGAACTTAGTACCATAATCAAACTAACTTGGGGTGTGACAACTTCACCACTTTGCTATATTAACATACTCTTAGATTATAAAGTTATAATTAGTTAAACAGTAAAATATAATATTCTCATATTGAGAAAATAAATTAATACTATAGAGTGGATTAGTTAAAGTAAATATTGTTTTGTAATTATTATAAGTAGATTAAAAAGAATTGTCAAAATTAAGTTAAAAGTCAAGAATTGTAATATGATATTGTTGTTGAGAGTTGTAAAATTTTTTAGAGTATAAATAAATATAGAATTTGGTACTTCTTTTGGGTTGTATATCAGAATCTCGATACACAAAATCCCAACAAACAAAATCCTGGCAATAAAATCTCAATATACAAAATCCCAACAAATTAAAATTCTAATTTTAATATCTTTAGAATTTTAATTTGTCAGGATTTTGTTTATTGGGATTTTGTTGCCAGGATTTTGTGTGTTGGGATTTTGTGTGTCAGGATTCTGATATACAACTCTTCTTTTGCTAAAAATGCTTTGTTTTTAGTAATTAAATATATTTTTTGGCTAGAGTTGTAAGATTAGTTTGAAAGAAATAATTATTAAAAGGTAAATATCCAAGTCTGGCTAGTAGAGCTGTATTTATAATATAAATACTGTAATTTAAAACAAACTTATTAAACACACTAATAAATTTTGCTTATTACTTTTAAACAAACTTCTAAAAATGGTTTAACAATAAAATAAAAATCTAATTCAATACAAGTAGAAATTTTTTAAAGAAATACTATAAAAACCAAAAAATTTAAAGCTACATTTTCAAATATACTTAATATTTTTACAAATATTATAATTTTTAATAATAATATAACCTGCTTATTCAAAAATAGCTTACTCAAAACTATTTAATTAATCTAATCTTCTCTTAAAAATTTTTTGAATAGATTAGTAAAAGAATTTGACAATAAAATCTAATTTAGCATAAAAATAGAAACTTATTAGAGATTTTTATTCTCTTTCTAGTAATCATAGTTGTAAAAAAAATACTGATATGTGATGCTTTTAATAAATTGAATTAATTTGCTGATGCATTATTGTTATTTACTTTATTTAAAGTGACTTGAATTTCAAAACAACATGCTCAATAAAATAATTTAGATCACTTAATTTTATTATAAGTTAAATTCAAATTCTTTAGCAACCCGAGCACATTTTAGAATTCTGTTACAACCTAAGTTTATTTGAAATCGACTTAGGTGAATTCTAAATCCACAATAATTCCATTCCAACGTACGTACGTACGACATACTGTATATACTATACAGTATTTTAGCAAATAGTATTATTATGTATAATTAATATTAATTTTTGATTGGTTAATTATCACATATTAAACAATTTAACCAACTACGCTTAATGCTGTGATTTTGAGAAAATACCAGAAAACTTTAGTACAGAAGTATGCATGTCGACTATCAAATGTGCAACCTTACTCAAATATCTTTTTACTGCAATTACTGTAAGGAAGTTATGTGTGACGTTTGATAAAAAGCTTATTCTATGTTTCGTAAAGTAGCAAATACAATCAACTAATTCAATTAAATTAAAGTTTTGACGGCGTAGCTCAATAACAATATAATTTTGGATCTCATTGTATTTGGGAACGCCAATTTTCTATTTTTTTTTGCAAAAATCATTGTCATTTTGCTCTTCCTTAAATTGTTTGTTTATTGTCAAATAAAACAATGGGAGAGCGATAACTTGGATGGTTTATAAGAATAACATGGTAAAAGTGACAGCACAGCTGATTGTAAACAAGTGTAATAATCAGAATTTTAAAAAGCAGGTTTTGGATTGGTTACTATAAAAATATTTGTAATAATTGATTTTTTATTATTGCACTAACGCTAAGTATTAAGAAAAAATTTTATTTGTACGTACGTATATCAATATGTTGTATATTCTTCATGTAAAATAGCATATATATATTTGAGATTTATGATGCTGACGACAACTGAATAAACAATTAAAAAAAGCTATGGAACGTTTTATGTGTTTTGGCTAAATTTGTGAGACGTTCTCATACACCATATAAAGCCCTAGCTGTTGGTACGTAATACATATATAGTATTTTTATTTTCATATGTAATATATTGTTCGTTTGTAATCGGTAAAAAGTGTCACCTTTATTATGTATGGAGTTTAGTCTGCTTTTCTTATATAAATTCTTTGCATGTCGCCTTCCTTTGATGAACACAGCTCAAAACATGGTATATTAAATAAAAAGTGTGCAAGCTAATCTGAATTGCATTGAAAATTGATGTCATCATGGAAACACATGATCAAATATCCTTATTTTAGCCAACAATTACTTAAATATTATCAATCAAATGTCACTGCTCAATATCAAGAAGTTCGATTTCTATTGCATGATCTAGTACGTAAGTATACTGTATATTTTATATTTTTAATCAATTTAGACCATTCACATTTTTCAGTATTTAGCTCCTAACTGGTTGTTGATCTAACGATAAAATAGACTACAAACATTAGGTCTTTACATACAATGACTTATTGTGCGAATTGCTTTATTAGATTTCGTGATAAGGCGTAAAAAAGTTCGATTGATAACATATATAAATAGAAAATAGAATATTAAATATAGATTTGTTTTTTTTTTCTTCTCTTTTTTTTTTTTTTTTTAATAACAAACAAATTGGTTCTTTAATTCAATGGCACAAACCGTAGTTTTAAACATCGATTTGCTACATATAATTTTTGATAATTTTGAGTACCAAGATGATATGTTTAATGGACTTCTTGTTAATTCTTATTGGGCTTCGGTATGGTTTAAATTTTAATTTTAATTGATCTTGTAAATTTTTTTTCAGTTTTTATAAATATACAATTCTCAATAATTATATAATAGGTAATTGTTGGTAAATTATGGAAAAAACCAATTTGGAAATCTCCAAGTGTTTTTCAAAAATTTATACGAACTTTAAGAAATACTGCTACTTCATTCGAATATAATCGAATGGTCCAATATCTAATATTCTCTTCATGCAGCCCATCTCATGTTGAGATCTCAATTCCTGTTGTTGATATTAAACTAATTGCTGAACGATGCAATAACCTTAAGCATATCACTTTCGCTCGAACATTCTCCGCTGATGCAATTTCTATGCTTTTAGAACATAGTCCTGGTTTGATTTCTTCCGTAATTTCTGGCCAAAATCTCTCAACTTTGAGTCACGCTCTGCAACCTATTCGTAATGGAAATTGTTCAAAACTTCAATATCTAGAATTAAAATATTGGAAATCTGAGTGGATGCAACATGATATATTACGAGACATAGGGAAACAATGTCCCATGTTGACCACTTTGTTAATAGCTTCAAGTATAGTGACGAACATTTTAGCCTCTTTAATTGTCGCTTCGTTTCCAAACCTACAAACTTTCACATGTAGCACGATAACTGGATCTGGATTCACAATTCTTACGTCCGGTTGTCCAAAATTAAAATCCCTATCTTTAGAATTCCCGTATATTAGCATTGAAACAGCGATGACCATAGCATCTGAATTTCCACCATTGGAATCATTTAGCTTACGAATAGGTTCTTATCGAGGGTTTGACCATTTTGTTAAGCTGTGGGTGCACGCACAACATCATCTGCGACACATTGAACTAAATTCTGCTCGTGGATTATATGATGATTCATTTTTGCCTATAGCTCAATACTGTCATCAACTAGAGTCTATAGAACTTCGAATGTGCACGAATTTAACCGACATTTCAATATCCGCATTGGCCAAATATAGAAACATTAACCTTAGAAAATTTACAATAAGGAATTGTGATCAAATCACGGATATGGGAATTTCCGACCTATCCCGACATTGCCCGAATCTATGCAAAGTATCCATAATCGGGTGCTTGAACATTACACATTCATCGTTGTCAATGATTGTACAAAGTTGTCAAGGATTGGTCGAGTTTGCGTTTACGAGTAGGCCGAGAATGACACCGGCTGTAATTTTAACTTTGGTGCAGTTCGAAAGGTGTATGTTGGAAATATTGGATATCAAGAGTGACGATATGGCGACAGCCGATGTAACCGTTAAACAGCCTTATCCAAAATTTGATTTGGCTCTAATGGAAAAGTTGGCTATAACTTGCCCTCACATTAGAATTTTAGGACTAAATTTTAATATGGCAGGATTGAATTCTGATGTAAGTAAATATCTTTATTTATGAATATCGCCAAATGAAAACTCAAAATCCTTTGAAGGATTCCGGGTTTTAATGTGGAGACATTAATATATAACCTCGTTAATATCAACTCGTCGATACAAATATCCGTTTTTAAGAAAATTAGCCATGGAACAAAATTTGTTATTTCTGTATATTAATCAAATGACCTGATTGATATTAACGAGGGATGACTATATATACATATAGATATACTGTGTCCAGGTAATTGAAAAAACACACTGCGCTATATGTATTCTATGTATTGGATTTACTGTACGCGAAAAACAGATGTTATACAAACAACCTATCTATATATATGTATATGTATATATATATATTTTATATAATATTCAAATTTATAACATCTTTATTTAACACACAGGATCTAATATCAGTGATGCATAAGTTTCAAAACCTTGAACAATTAGATGTCAGTAATAAAGAATTTAAAAGAGAACATATCAAAGAACTAGAGACCCACCGTAGATTAAAAGAGGTTAGATTTACCGGATCTGATGTTTTAGATCAAGATGCAAAAATTTATTTGGCATATAGGAAAAGTAAAGTAAAATGTCAAGGCCCTTTTATTATGTTTAAATGAGTATTTAACGCACGCACGCATGCATCAATATAAGTATCCACGTGATATTATGTCATATACCTTGATTTGGTGATGTGTAAGGTTGGGCACGGGCTAGAAGGCATGCTTATAGGACATGCCTTGAGCTGAGAATTAACATATTCGATGACCTTGTTGACTACCTACTCTTCGCCAATTGGATATGACACAATAGTCGCATGATTGAGCACGCCCATAGGCATGTCTTATACTAACTGACATCTTTTGGATAGAGGACAAGGTTTAAAGTAATAAATCCTTATATTGGGGTTAACTTTAGAAGTGGATTTATCTCATTGAAATTTTGCAAGAAATTCTTTTATTTTTTTTATTTTATTTTTTTAAAAAACATTGTATTCACATTACGTTTGATCCTGTGACCTTATTGGTAAATCGATGCCGAAAACCAGTGGATGCTAATGAGATGCTTGCATGTTTTAGAGACATGCCCTGCGTACTCAACCCTGATGATTTGTAATTTCCGGTTTTTGTATAATATGAATCTTTAGCTATACGACTTTAAAACTCTCACAAATACAACTGATACAACCATTATAGGACAATGTCCCTGATGCCATTACCTGTAGAACATTTGAACGAAATATATAAATTACTTCAAGATCCTCTGGTCTCGCCCATTTCCATTTTTCACACAAAATCATCTCTTATCAAAAGCATTTCTTTTATGCTTAAACAGTGAAGAATTAACTGCTCTAACTCCATCTAGTTCCGGATTTCGATTATCATGGAACATTATTTTATGGAATTTTTATGCTCAAAAAATATTTGTTGATTCGGTGGTAGAATAAAAGGAGGAAGCAGTTTTAATAATTTCTTCCAAGTTGTGTTTTGGATTGGGCAATTCATAAATGGTGTTTACAATTATCTATCTGAAAGTGAAAGGCTATTCATTACTGAAGAAGATTCCGCTTATGACTTTCGTCTTGCCCATGTCACAAAGTCAAATTTGTTCCATGTTATTAAGAAAAAGCTCCGTAATTTCAAATTTCAAACTTGTTGAACATTTTATCGATTTACCTGATTCCTCAATTTTTTTTAGATGTCATCCTGGTTTACCTCGATTAAGCGCATTAACATTTGAAATGTAAAAATTTAATGGACTTATTTCTTAAAAAAGTGCGATTTGACAACTATGGATTTACGTCTTACACCAATATCCATTTGTTGAGCTATCATATTAGTAATTTCTTGAAGGAAATACATTCAAGAATTATTGAATTTAATTTTATAGAGTCTCTTTGTCTCCTTTAAAGGTCTGTGCAAACTTAATTTTGAAAGCGCTGACAACAAAACCATTAGTGTTTCTTCAGTTTACTATAGAAATATTCAAGATTGGAAATTAATGTTTCAACTCAGAATTTAAAGCTGGTGATCGGATGGGTTAAATCAATATTTAATTAAAAGTTCTGAGAATTATCACGATCGTGATTTAGTGGTCGACTTAGTGAAAGAACTTGAACAATGTTTTAAGTACAATGATTATTTAGCTAATCGGATGTATTTTATTATATTTTTATAATTAAGAAAGGAATTATAATGTTGAATAATCCTGAGATGGTTTTACATTGAATTGTTTTATTAAAACTGAATGAATTACGTCACTATACAATGAAAGTCGTAATAAAAAAATCATAATATTAAACTTTTTTTTTGGAATATTATAAATTATCGCCATAGCTATAAAACCAGGCCTACCGAAAAATTAATTACACTTTTTGTTATATGCCATACAATTAAATTATCATGACGAAATAATTGCAATTAATTGCAGTTTACTTTCACTATATCACTTAGAGCGCTGCATATAATAATACCTAATGTGAACCGATTTTTTTAAATGGCAAAAAATTAAAAGTTACAACGGCGAATATATATAACACATAAGCTAATTACGTAAAATTGCTAATTGACTTATTGTTACTGCGCCACCAATCAATTAATTGAGTTCAAAAAATTGCCCACCTGCATAAAGCTTTATACCCTAAAAATTAATAATATAAAAAATTTAAATTAAAATTCGAAAAAACGCGTCATATTACTAGTATCGTCGCGACTTTAATCGCTCAATAAAATAAATATATGGGTTGCCGTCAATAGAAATCAAGCAGATTGGCATTTTAAAAAAATGTAATCCCTTAACATAATTTATATATCCCAATGAATTTTGAGGTTATCTTAATGAATTAATATTCAAAAGAAACCTTGAGATATAGACTTCTTTTGAATATTAATTCATCAAGATAGCCTCAAAATTTATCGAGATATAAGTTGTGAAAGTTAAGAGATTAATTTTTTTAAAAATGTCAATCTGCTTGATTTCTATTGATGGTAGCCCATATTAATGTGTGATTATGATACCTTAATGCTGACAAAAATTTACTTCATACCAATAATTAACCCACAAACTAATTAATTGCCAATCCAGATAAGATTGGCAATATTTCTATATTTAAAATTGGGGCAAAATAAATAGATAAACAATGTAGTATGAAATTTGGAGTAGGCTTGTATATGTTGTGCCTTAGATCGATTCTCATATTGGATTTAATCCAACATGTATCATATTAGATCCAATGTGTGTAAATTGTAATTTGATGCAAATGAAAATCATATGATAATAAACAAACCTTTATTAAAATTTTTTTTTTTTTTAAATTTGGCAGTTCTGCCTTTACTTTATTAGGCTTTGTAATAATTATCTAAACTATTATTTTTTTTTTTTTAAGCAGTCATGTCTTTATTTATTCGAACTACTATTTGACTATTATACAAGTATATATTGCCTTTATAGTGTATTGCTTTATCTAAAAAAGACTTACCAAGCATTTACCCAATGCGACCCACCAAAACAACAATTTATTTCCCTCAGGATTCTTAACTTTCTAAGAATTTCGTACCGATTGAGGTACCTCTCTCATCACAAATTTTTTCAAGTAGATTTATAATGATATATAACACTTAATCGTTTTATATTGATTAAATTTAAATGCTAAACATTGATTAATTTGTTATTTAGCGATATATATCATAAATCGCTTATTATTGATAATGGGTAAGAAATCGATATAGATCAAATTATCGATTATCATCGAACTAACCAAAATCGTAATATATCGATCAC